ATGCAAATGATCAGCTTAGTACTTGTAGTACTGCTCGTGATACTGCGACAAAGAATTATAATGATGCAAATGATCAGCTTGATACTTGTAGTACTGATCGTGATACCTGTTGTGCTCGTGCTGTTAAACTTACTGGCGGTCGTGATAAAGCCATAGCGGATCTTAACACTATTGCTAATGTCCGTCGTCGTTTATTTCATAATGATAATCAACATCGTTTTTTTCAAGATGATGAAGATGATCGTCGTAAATAAGCCAGGTATGTTACATAAGTGTTCTTATAAGTTTATAATGCTAAATAAATTCAATATCTTTTCTTTATACTAGGATGCTTATAGCGAACATATACAAACAAACAAAAACGAAACATCCTCATTTAATATGACTATCATGCAACTTTCTTTTTTTTATACACTTGATTTCTGTATTCTTCTTCGTTATTTTCTCCACTGCTTTCTTCAATTTTTTTTCGTTAATTATACTCAAATTTTTTTGCAGCTGCTTTTCTTTTCGTAATATTCTTAATTAGTTGTCATCTTACGTTTTTTTGTAGTGTGCGAAATCTTCAAATCTAATAAATTATTTACACTAAAAAATATAAAATCGTTGTCTGACTAAAACAAAAGAAGATGGTCAATCGTTTGATAAACTGATTATTAGAGGTAGAATTCTTTTTGAAATCAACTCCACTTTTATTTGTTTAAACAAAAACACGCATACACACACATGGCCGATCACTCTTGAGAAAAAAACATACGTATACATAGGATCAAAAAGATCCAAGATTAATACGACAGAAACACACAATAAGAAAGAGTGATATATGATAGACATCACTTTAGAAAAAAAATAATCTAGCATAGAAAAAGAAGATATAACATCAAGGTCAAAGCTAAAGAGAGAGAAAGACATATTTAAATGCGTCGCCTATAATAGTCAATCCGTCCCATAAAGAAAATGTGTGTCCGCACACATATATAAGAACGAAAGAAAAATTTACAACAATGCGTAGAAAGAGAAAGAAAAAAAATGTGTTCATGTATATGTATAGAGAACAAATATTTAATGCGTAACCGAAAAAGACAGGAAAGAGAAAAAAATAACATATTAACACGTTTCAATAAATAGAAAAGAAGAAAAAACATATATATGTGATATATTATTTATTTTATCTTATCCTATTTTTATAAAATAATTATATTATTAAATATTTTCTAAAAAATGGATAGAATTATTTTATTTCATTTTTATCTATTTCATTAAGTAATTTAAACAATCCTATAGTTATATGTATATCTTTATCTGATAAAATCAAAGAATTTATTGAAAAAAAGAGAGAATTAATCTTATATATTCAGGTAAGAAAAGGAAGTGATAATTTAATGTAAAATCTTCTAACATTACAAAGGATAAAAACAAAGCTAATTCAAATTTCAAAAGAGATGGTGCGTCCAGGAGCCTTAGCGTAAAATACCGATATTTTGGTCTTTATGACTATATGCCTTCAACTATCAAACATTTAAGGATACTATTCGATAGGTCTCATCACGTTACACATTAAATTCTAGTTAGAATAGTTGAAATACTTTCATGAACGAATATGGAAAGGTTTTAGTCGAATATCGTACCAGCTTTACCAACGTCAACTTTAAGCATTTCTGAAAATTCTATCAAGAAAGATTAAGGGCTTTTTGAACTCACTCTTAGGTGCAATTTATAAATTTTGATAAATTTTTAGAAAACTTTATGTTACATTGCATAATCACATATGATATTCAAGAATACGACTTTTTTTTAGTATGGATTAATGTATCTTGATTAGATTTATGAAATGTGTCATGATAGAGCAATACTTTCAAACATATTGTGTCTATCGAGTAACTAATATGTCGTTTTTTTTGTGACAGTTGATGTATTTGTGCCCTAAAAGTATATGAAGATGGTAGAGTAGCAAAATTCTTTTTATAGAGGAAGAAAACCGGTAAAAAGCTGCTTCTTTACATGTGTAAACGGACAAAATAAAATATGAAGAGAATATTCAATTTTGAACCAGAATATGTCCACTATACAATTTTTTTGATTAAAATGTTTATATTTTTATTTTACAGTATATCAAAACAATACTCTCACAAATATTTTAAAACTAAAAGGTAATTCGTGCGAAACTGCATCTTTCTATATACAAATCAACAACATAATATATCGGTAGTGTATATGTATATTTAAAGTATAAATAAATAGAAAATATCGCACACAAAAATAAAACGAACGTTAATAAATCTTTGTTTTATAATTCAATAGTGACACATTATTTTTCGAATATAAAAAATATTAGGTAAAATTACAACAAATATATTGGAACATTAGTTTAAGATATTCTTTGCTGATGCTCCATGTTTACACACTTTTTTGCCGAATATGACTACTTCATGTAATGCATAAAGTTCAACTAATGAATAGGCTACAAGAACAAATGGTGTTGATATGAAATGAAAGATATTTCGAAGAATAAAAATAAATTCATGAACATTGATTAATCGAACTATAATTGCATCAATTATAAATGCAACTAGAAATGTTAACATTTGTAGACCAAATAGGCCATACATAATGTAAGTAATTATTGGTGGAACATTTTTAACTAGTAATAACATTGATATTGTTGATGCAAAATTAAATAAACCAGCAGTACACAGAAGAACTCCATAATAAATAATAAAAACAAAACCCCATGAAAATGCTGCTATTTTTGGTATATGTTTTGCTTTAATAATAAAATAATGAAAGACTTCTGCTGCTCCAATAGTCCAACGCCGTGCTTGTCTTGCCCATTCCATAATTTCAGTTTCGATTGTTTCACCTGACGTTGGTCCACTTACGACTGGCACGGGTATCATTGAAATTCGAAGACGTTGTTGAGTAACACCCATCCATCGAATTAAACAAATAATATCGTCCATTTGATAACCCGGATGAATAAAATTACCTTTTTTTGCGAGACTTAATGAAAATGAAAAAATACTCATCGTATTGATATTGAATGGAATTAAAGCACCCAACATTAATAAACTTCTTAAAAGTCCTGTAACACGTGTTATAAATGACAGACTATCTAATTTCCAATTGTAAAATAATGGTGATTGATAAATTGTTGTTAATGCTGGTTGTTTTTCTTCTAAATATTTCCATGTTAATGCAGCAGTATAATTTGATGGAAATTTTGAATCAGCATCACATGTTGTTACTAAAATATTTTTCATATCATCATCATTAATAATATTCATTTGATTAACAGCCATTCGAAGGCCGTAATTTGAATTCGAACATTTGCCAGGAATTTCATTTGGTAAACCACGTGGATGAATAGTAAATATAATTTGTTCAAAACCAGCATGTTCAAATTTATTTTGTAAATATTTACATTTTTCTTCTTTATCTGGTGTTTTCTCTTCAAACGATATGACCAAAGTTATTCGATGTACTTCAGTTTGATTAGCTACTGATTGTACACTTGTAACAATTAATTCAATCGGTTCTTTATAACAACTAATAGCAACAATATGACGAATAGGCTTTTTTTCGAGTTTAGCAATTTTTTCTGTATAGCTTTGTGATCGATTCATATACAAGATCAAAACATTTCGAAGAGCTAATATTGTAATAACTAAGAAAATTAAAATTATTTAAAAAAAAACATTAAAATATCGTTTTATGTACTTACCAACCCACATCAATACAAATATAGCATGCATTGATGGTAAAAGATATAAAGCAACTTGATTTGAAATAAATGGAATCCAGATTGGAAGTGGAATAATAACCCATAATAGAAGATTGAATAATAGATTCCATCGTAATCGTTGACTACCACTTTTCATTTCACGATGTGTAATACCAGTTTCAATAATTGTATGTTGATTTGTTTCTTGATCTTTATCAGTTGATATTAAAGAAGTAAATGTCGATTTTTGTTGTAAAACTTTATTAACTATCTGTGTTCCTTGTTCTAATCGATCAATTTTTTCTTTAACTTCTACTGAGATTTGACGAAGAAAATTTTTCATTGGAATCTTGAACGTTGATTTAATCGATTGTTTCATCTCATTACTTTGTTCATCAATGTAACCATAGTTCTGATATTGTTCACTTAAATATCGAATAAGTTTTCTTGGATTATTTGCCATTTTTCAGTTTATCGTTTAAACATATATTCAATTGATAAAATCATTCTCGTATATATACCGTTAGACATGCTTATTTGTCTTTGTATATTCCTACAAATTGTCATGACATATATAAATCACTTCCTTTTTTCATGAGGAAGCACAAACCTAAATAATTTTATTGAATAGATTATTATGAAATAGTTTAACGCACTTCCC